TTAAAAAATTATGCGAAAGTGTATGGTAATATTGTATGAATTTTATGAATCTTGATAATAACAAATTTCAAATAAAAATATTTCGATTTGCAAAATAACGTTATAAAGAAAGAGACTCATTTTAATTTTACTTCAGGATTGATTTAATTTTTATAAATGCTAACGATGATAAAGCGTTCTACGATGGAGGAGATAAATTACACGTAATCGTTCTTAATAGCATCTAAATCACGAATTAATCACCGAAAACCAATATCACGCATACCACATTGTTCAGAGCTGCAGTGGCCGGCGTTCCATCGGAATCGTCAAGGAAAACACCTTTGCATCCCCTTTAGTTCTCCGTTATTATCGTTATTTCGAGCCATTAATATTAATGGACGTAAACGTGTATCGCTGCGCCGGCGATGGGAATAGCCAGACAGAGAAAACGCGTAGAGGGACCCGTGGCCATAATTGAATAGACGCAGCTGTGCGTACTACGTGTCGGTAAAACATTAATGACCTATAGCCGCTGACGATCGTTTCGCGTTATTATTCCTCAAAGTCAGAGCCAGCCGGCGCGTTTATCTCAGCATTTTCAATTCTCTTGATCGCGTACGAGCACTGTCGGTACACGAGCTTGGGGTTAGAAGCGTAATGACTACGGGGGACTTGCTCGTTCGAAAAACGGGACTGGCGACGATTTTTAACGGGATGATCGTAATTGTTATCATTAGACTGCGGTTATCATTAGGCTTCTTACGCAAATTTATTATTGTTGTAAATCATTGTACTTTGGATATTTCGTATTTTTTCCTGTAGTGCGTGTATTTCTGTACATTTTGCACTTTCAAATTTTCTGGCTGGCTGGTTATCATTGAGCGGGTCGCGGTAAATTGGTTATTTATATAGATGCGACTGTTGGCTGTTATATTTCGTATGTGCCGTTTCGTTTCGTGACAGAGCTTATACAAACTTGTTTAAAATTTCAAATTTCAAAATTCCAAAGTTCCGAAGTTCCGAAGTTCCAAACTTAAAAATTTACAAACTTACAAACTTACAAATTTACGAACTTACGAACTTGTAAATTTGCAAATTTTTAATGTTCCAAAGTTTAGAGTTTCGAATTTCAAATTTCAAAAATTCAAATTCCGTACTACAATTTTGAAATATAGAAACAGGTTTTATGTACTTTTATAGTTACACTTTTTTTTTGAAATTTTATGAATATGTTTGGGGGTTGTTCTTGACAGTATATGGTATAATAATAATTAGTTTATAGATAAAGTTCGAGTCAATAATAGTGTGAACTGGCAATTAAAACAATTGATGAACATTGGAAAGCAAACAAAGCGAACGTCTGTGAAATATTACAATAAAACTTCAAAAGTGTTCCTACAAACTAGTTCATATTGCATTTCAAGATATTCAGATAATAATCTTTTTCCAATAAAATTAAAAACTTTCTATTTCTTTTACAATAGATTTATACATCACCAATAGTAATATTTGTTTCAATGAATTTTTGTATACCCTTATAGAAAACAGAATAATGTTTGAATCGATGTTACAATAAAATATAAACCACATATTTAAATTGTAGGAACCAGCGACTACCTCGACAGTTTCGAAACTTCAAGAAACCAAGAAAACAAGTCAAACAAATTCCAAAACAAATATTTCCCTATGTTCCATCATCCCGAAGTCGCAGACTTGGCCCAGTTGCGCGGCAACACCCAGTATATATTAAGCACGCATAAAATCCTCAGATTAATAGTGACCAATAAGAAGCAGAACGATGGCGAATTGCGAAAGACCGGAAACGTTCAGATAATCCCGCACAATTTAACAAAATAACTTCATAATTCCAGCCGCAATGAATAATATTATTATCATTACAGAAAATTATTCCTCCGCGGCCGAGACCGCGCCGTAAAAACATATTCCGTATAACGTTCCGCCGTGAAACAACCGCAAACTTCATAATTCCCATTACAATTAAAAATATTATTATCTCCTCTAGAGATGATTTCCCCCTGCGCGCAGCGAGACAGGGAGAAAAAGAGGCAGAGAAAGAAAGACAGAGAGGGGGAAAGAACCTAACCTATAAAAACGCTGCGCGTCGTTTTCGCCGCGGAACAACTCCATTCGCGTAACGCGCGCGCAAAACCAGAGGAATGTTTCCATAGACGATCCGAGACCAGAGTGGAAGACACGAAAACCATCGAGAAGATTATGCCTCTCAGGGATTTTTGAGCGTGACAGGATCCTGCTCTCCCTGAACCGTCTGCGACCCTCTTCCCGTACGTCCTTCCCCACCTCTCGCCGTCCGCCGACACAACTTTTCTCTTTTCTTTCGTTTTTTCGCCTGCCGTAATCCCGGTTGCGTCGTGACGCGCGGGCTTTCCAGTTTCTTCGAAGCGTTTTCGATGCGCGTAATCACACGTTTTAACGAACGATCGCGCTGGTCCAGGACGTCACGCAAACCGCGCGCCGCATCGTCAGCTATAGTGGTAGTATGTACGTCTGACTAGTCTCGCACGAAGGGGAAAACTGGTCCTGTGCGCGGCAGTTCGGAGAATGAGGGGTTAATATATTAATCGTTGAAAACCGATCATCCTCTATTTGCTTAGCCGTTTCGACGACCTAGACCTTTGCGGAGGACGCTGCATGATTTCTGGTTTCACGGCCCTTGTTTGCGTTCTGCTTGATCTAACCGCTGTTTCACGGTGTCTGATTTTTCTGCTTTGGATCGGGGTTCCTGCTGGAAAAGAGTCTCGGAGCGAGATATTTATTTAGTCCACGGTATACTACTGATGTCTTGTTAACGCTTTGTGAACGAGTTTCTAAACATTTTCGAAGTTTCTTCGAATAAAAAACTGGATTATGATTGGAAGTATTACATTTTAGATAAGACGAAACCGATGTGTCAATTTGTCGATGTTTGAATAACTAAATTATTTATTTGTAGCTTTCGATTTTAGATGTCAATGCTGGAACTTGTTATATAGTATTCGATTGCGAAGAGTTACTTTAGAGTGTAGAATTTGTATGTTTTTATTATAAATATTCTTATTATTTTTAATACACTACTATTATATTAAATCGTTTTATGTAAAGGCTTATAACTTAGCAAAACGAACTACGATAACATGAAACGAAGGCCTTACGCGAAAACAAAGACATAAAGGATACATGTTTTTACTTATTTCAGCGTGTTGAATTCATTGTTCTACTTCCTGTATATTATGCAGTGGTCGCTTTCAGAAAATTTGACTTACTCTGGAATAGTCACTTTCAAGGTAGTATTCACTCATGAAAAATTCTCTCGAGGGCAGCCTGCGATGATTTTACTGTTGAATGGACGCCTACCTTTATCCCGGGACACTTTCCCGACCCGGCGAAGAAGAAACTCTAATGGCCTAGAACGAAATGCGAGGATGTACTAAGGAAACCGATACTGTTGGAGTTGAGCGGTTCCGCCGTGATGGAGTGATGCCTGGAGAGAGGGAGAGGGATTTTTGTGTCGTTAACCCCTTACCGTTTTAATATCGAGTTTATACTTAATGAATTTGAATATTATCTTCATGAGACCGATTCGAAGAAAATATACTGTTTCGCGTTTATGAACGTTTTAACTTTAAACCCTAAGTTTACTGCCTACAGCGAAGGTATCATTCCTTTTTCCGTTCGGAGAATTGTTGACGATTAAGCAACCCCTGCGCGCCGGCTGAACCAAAGGGAAGAGTTACGGGGCAAGGGGTTAATAAACTGCGGGGTTTTACGTTGATATCGGATTTTTATAGATTGCGTAATTAGTGGGAACAGGAAGTGAGCAAGGGATCTGCTTTCTCGACGAGAGAAATATTTATTTATGAGATTTTCTTCGGCGGAGGAAGTGAATTATAATTTCGATCTTTGTTTCGTTTCTTTAATGTATATGTGTTCTTACTGCAAAAAGTGGTGCAATTAAAATTATGTTTCTTGAAAATATTGTATTAAATTATTCTCACCATTTCTGGTATTTGCGTTTCATGGAAATATTGTGTTATAATTTGAAAATTGTTTTTTATGGTATAATGCATAATGATATACTTTTTTTTGGAAAAGATACTGTACGTTGTGCTTTCCTAAGTTTCCAATTAAACGCTGTAGTATGTATAACATATAATCATGAATGTAGGAGGAAGAATATTATAAGTTTTTTTTTTATTTCATTTAAATTAAGTATTTGTTTGAAAATATAACTATACAGTAAATGTCTCATTAATTATACAAAGGGAATTGAGAATGATGATACAAATACCTTTTGAATAGCGAAGTCATGTATGGAATATTAAGTAGTAATCACACGACGCGTTGAAATCACTCGAGCGATAAGTGATTTCAATGCATGGTTGGAACAGACCACCTTTGGGATTATAGTGTACTTACGTAAGAATGAATCAATTGTGAGAAGGCATTCATTGAAGTGATATCACTTTATGTGAAGGATTTTAAATTAAAATGGAAATTATTGCAATATTAGCAATTATGTATAAGAAACAATAGATTTTTAGATATTTAGATATTAATTGAATACCAAAGTATAAAGCATTGAATAAATTCTCACGAGTTAAACGAATTAATGGTAATCACGTAACGAAGCCAATAATATAATGTATTGTAAATAAATGCAGTATGAAAATCAGTGAAGTGATTACTGCAGATAATATACCTTTTTACATTTGAGATATAAATATTTATAACAAAATATATAAAATAATAAGAATTATTTTAATAGCAGTAATAAATTTAAAATAGTAATGATTAACAAATTTCTAAATACTAAACTATTATTAAATACAATACTATTGAAACAATAATTTTTTAACGTTGGAGAAAATTCTAGGAATTGAATTATTACAAGTGTAGTAGTAACTGGTGTGCTATAAATAAAACGCAATTTTAATTACTTGTAAATCAATGTATTTTCAGATAATAACTATACAATAAGAATCTCTTCTTGCGAACGTTCACATTCAGTACGCAGAATATTAACAAATGTACAAAACGCATGGACAAACACTTCAGCAGTTACACTAAGATTAAATTTACAAAATGGTAGACACGTCGATATCCTTTCCTAAAACGCTTAGGATTAAGAAAATTCTTTCAACTCCTTAATTAACCTCATCGGTCAAAAATTTTCTTTATTTTATGGAACCTTATTCATTTGTAACATACAGTGAAAACTTCAAAAATATTTAGCAATGTAATTATAATTTTAACATAATAGAGTTATTCTCAACGAAAATCGATGTTTGCATCTCCAACCTTTAGTATTCCTTTAAGCATTCACAATAACAGTTATTAACAACTTGTTCACCGATATAAAAAGTTTTTATATTCACAATCAAAAAGCAACAATATTACGGAGCTCCTCCATGACATCTTATTAATAAATTCATATCATTATTCAGTATAAAATATACAAATTCAGGTTCCTCGCATTTTATTTGTCATCCAAAATTCTTCATCGAAATAATAAATTTGCTCATGAATGATACCAAAAACACTTAAAGACCATTCGAATAACGCACACAATGTGTTTAAAGGGGTTTAAGTCACCGAAAAGGCATTCAGAAGATCGACGCGTCGGAAAATCGCATAGTTCCTCGCGTGTAATCGCACAGGAAGGAACTGTATCATTTTTTTGTTCTTTTAATAAAAGGAAGGACCACCTAAACGTCTGTACACTCTTTCGAAACCAGTCTCGCGCAGTTTCATATGCTGGATCGCACGAAATACTCGCGAATCCGTCGAATTTCACGTTTGCATATCAGCGTTCGAGGATCGAATAGAAGCGATCGACCGGTTCTAATAACATCGATCAGCCGCAGCACAGATTCCCCGGTACCGGAAGTCACGCTGCGTCCCGGTGAGGTCCGCTACATCCTCTGTACACGCACGGGACCGTAATTACGCGATCATTTTCCCCGGTCAACAGCCTTGTAAATCTTCCGCCCGGTGCCCCGTGAAGGACGCCGCCGCTCTCAGCTAGGAAAAAGGGGAGAAAAAGACCTCGGAGGGATAATTTCTTCGGCAAATGGCGTTGTAAATTCCGTTGGTGCATCGCCGCGCCGTTTCTGCCCGAACGGTTCTCCAGTTCGACCCAGGAAGTCGCGTGTTATCTCCATCAATGAACTCTGGGGACTCGATGCGTTCCGATACTGCTCTCCATACTGTTCACAGGTCCAGCGGAAAATATACATCCGAGCACGGATATGGCAGCGCTGTACGAGTGGTGGCGATGTGTGCGGCTCGAAACAATTGGAGAATCATAGTTGTTGGAAATATATTTGGGACATTATGGGTTTCATAATAAGTTTGAACTAGGTAAGTTCAAACGAAAATGCTGAGGAGTTTGACGTTTTAATTTGTTAACGGATGAAATTTGAAGAATTCATTGGTGTTTGTATAATGTTAATCTTTTACGTCTTGAAGATATATTCATGATACAAAGCATTTAATCGATTGTTAAATTTTTGATTTAAGTTGTATATATTTTCAGTATTTTTAAATATATTTTTGGAAGTTTAATTTTTTCAACTTTTCATTATTCAAGTGAACTGCATGTAACTTACCCAACTTCTTCAAACAAGCAAATGTTTCATATAAACCTGTTTACTAACCGTCGCGCCTCAAAAAGAATTCCGAACCTGTATCGCAGCACACAAAGAATCTCATCAAAACTGCATCTACCAAATACAGGTTTTCTACGATACATACCATTCGCAGCTCCTTCTCCGTAAAACAGAACAAATCCAAGTTTAATTTCATCAAAACCCACCTACTCGCCACCCAACAGATTCTACTAACCCCAGCCAAGAATTTTCCAATTGTTTCAAGAACGTTTTCCCACATCATTCCATCTGCAAAACCTCTCTTCAAACTTCCTCCTCCACCGGTCCCTTTCCCGGACAGCTATCGTCTTGCAGCCCAGGAGAGATCACGATCAGCAGACGGTATTATAAATCCCCTCTTCGTCGTCTGCAGCAGAGATCTCCGACTGGGACAGTGCTAGCTTCACGTATCCCCTATCCTTCTCCCTGGTCCCGTTCTTGCCACCGGGTGGCGGTTTTTCCTCGGGCTTGCCGCTAGCGATCGTCGGCTCGCAGATCTCCGCGTAGATCTCCTCTGTCTTGGATGGCGGGGTCGGCGGCAGGGGTGTTAGACTGTCTCTAACCTTGGAGTACGGCGGGTCCAGGTCCTGTTGCGTTTGGACCTCTAGCACGCTGGTGGAAACTGATCGTTGCACCTGCTGTCTCGAGGACGGTGACGCCTGTAGCAGATTTGTTTCCGATTCGAGGCTTGCGTATCTCTCGGACCTCATGCCGATTTCCGGCCGGACGGCGAACGTGAACGAGGCAGACTTCTTCGCCGGGTTCCTGCTCCTTCCACCTTGCGCTATCCTCGAGATCCGGTCGAGGAAGCTGTGGTTGTTGCTGCTCACTCGACTGTTGCTGCGATCCCTGATCGTCGTACGCTTGATGTGCTCTAGGCCTTCCTTCAAGCTCTGGAGGATCGGCTTCGCCTCGGTTTTCGATTTGATTTCCTTCAGGTGGAGTTCCTTCAGCGGGCCGTTAGCTGGTGGCGGCTTTGGAGGCGCCACGCGCGGCTCCGTCGCCCTTTGGTCCAACGCTCTTCTGTAAGCGAAAGGAAAACTCGATTGGTGGTTGATACGGATTTTGCTTGTTATTTTTAATGTTAGACTATTTGTTTATTTGCGTAATTTTTAGATATAATATTTGTTACAAAATGACGTGCTTCGTAGTTTTATTCGAAAAAGTACGATTCTTTGCATCGATGCATCTATGCCAGAAATGGTATTAGATTGTTAAAGAGCTTGTTAAATAAAGATTCCCTTTACGATTTTTTCCTAACCTTACCAGGAAAAGTGTTATAGTCTTTGACTATGTATTATTTATAGATTAGTCACGATCTAGATCGTTTAAAGTTTTATCAGCAAGCCCAATAATTCGGAATCTTAGATTATATCTTATTATATTCAATTTTTGAATATTTAATATTTAAGAAATAGGTAAGAAATATTTTAGGAAACTCTTCTTCTTATGCAAAATACTTATAGAGGAATCTACAGAAGTGATAAATAAAGAGCAATGTATACTTGCATGTAAGGTTCCTGTGCAAAAATCCAATTCTTTACCTGCAAGCCGAGAGTAACCGTTGCATCTTCGGCGACGCCAACAGCCGTGCTTCAGAAGGACAGCCCAACCGCGCCCTTTTCACTCGAGGCGCTGTCGGTCCCGTCGCGACCAGTTCGAGGAGTTCTGGGACCGTGGAATTCGGTAGAGGCCTTTCGGGTATCAATGGTACCGCGCAACCTAACACTATGGGCCCTCTAGTCGCGCCTTCCAGCTGCATCAGTCCGCTATAATCTCGTGGCAATGGTATCGGCAAGGGTCCAGCAACTAATCGTACCTAGTAATCAGATTTCAATCTGCCTGGTTAGCAATTTGGGAATTTAAGTAGCTTTTTGACTTTTGTATTATTTTGATTATCACTGTCCAATTATACGTATCGTATTATTAATACTATAAGATGCGAAATCAGTTTAAAACGTTTCAAAGTTGTGTACTTTCAAGCAATGTTAAAGTATATCGAAATTTGCTAGAGATTCAAAGTATTTTATTAGTCAAAATTTTAGGACATTTTATTTGTTCCTTATGTTAAATTATTAACTCAGGCATTAGATAAATGTAACAAAGTTTCAATGAAATTTAGTATTTTCAAATGTATTTGAAAACAAAATATAAATTTACAATAAGCATGCGTATCTCAGTCACGAGACAATTTAATTATATAAATCATTACACAGAATTATGATGGGAAAATTATCAAATAAAAACTCCCTAATGGAACTAATCAGTTGATAGTATAGATAAAGTAAATACTTTACTATTAACACGTTAATTGCCACAGTGGTCACTGATAATCCGAACTTCCAAATTGCTTGAAAACAATTACAAGAAGAGAGCTTGTTTAATTAAATGAGTAATTAAATAATGGCATACCTTAATAATTATGTATGATACCAAATCATTAATAATTAATTCTAATACCATTTGTTTTCGTTATAAAAGAATAAGTAACATTATACAAAACACTTAAAATTTTCGTAGCGGTCAACGTGTTAGTATTGTCTACTTCTCCTACGGATAGAACGAATAATAATCAAAACAATATGTAAAACGTAGTAAATCTGCGTAACAGTCGCCGCATTACAGTATATCACTAACACTAAAAATATCAGACGGGTTAAATTGATCCATTTTAGAATGTTCAGTTTACAAGTATTTAAATTATGACAGGACATCTGCGCAAAATTGTAAAATAAATTTGTGTATTTGTACAGATACAACAATAAGGGATCGATAAAATCTTGAGAAATATATTGCTTTAATTTCTATAAAAACTTAGAAATAAGTCACTCCAATTGTTCGATAGTTTCAGTGTTAAAATCCACCGAATTCCCAGACATGCTTAAAATTTCCGTAAAAAGTCCCTAACACTCACCCTTAAAGGAAGATCCCTTCTGGCAAGCTGATGAACTCTGTACAATACAGCGTCGCTTCCGGTGTCGAGGCTTCCGCTCTGGCAAGTGGCGTAAAACTCTCCCCTCGCGGAAAGCGGCGCGAACAGTTCATGCCCGTGGGAGTCCAGACACTGCGCGTACTGGTCTCGTTCCGATGACCTTGAACTCTTACCTTCCGGGACACCGCTGACGACGCCGGAAATGCCGCTAGAAACTGGCGCCCTCCGCGTGTCCTGGAAAACGGCGGCGAGTCGCAGAACCTCGCCTGCCCGGACTGTCGTCTTCGTATAGTGAGCCCTTAGATTCCCGTTTTCTGCGACAGAAACGGGCATTTCGCTTGGAAATGTTTATAAATCGACTACATAGCGCAGGATTGAAAACAGTAGTTTTTTTTAAGTACAATTTGTGTCATATATTTTCGTGTCTGATTTTTTAATGAACGGATGGACTTTGATCGGACAAAATGTTAAATTAAACATACATCTCAGTAAACATTTCATACGAATAATAATATTACTCGTTATTAATAAATAAGTAAAACTTTTCAATTCTAAGAACTACTAAAGTAATGAACAATTATTAAGCTTTTTCCTAATGTAGGCTTTCGAAGTCGACTTCTAAAAATCGGCTAAATTCCTAATAGACAATGATTATCCTCCTGTTCCACATAGAAAACACTCAAAAGCTTGATCAACGACATTTTCCGTTGTCTCTTTTGAAATAAAATGTTGATAAAACGACAGATCTTCAGATTTTACTACAATTCTCAATAAAAAACCTACTAAGCTCCATTACGACGTATCAGACGCTCGAAATACTACTATATTGATAGGCGTCCAGCGAAACACTCAAACTAATTCTCGAATGAAGGATAAAATTGGAAGATGGCAGACTTCTGGCGTGAATCCGCCGGGACAAGTCAAAGACGCAAAATTACGTGATATCTTCGTGGAAAAGAGAGAAAAGGAGGGAGTCGGGGACCGCGACGCCCATAGAAATCCCCCTTTCACGCGCAACCATAATCGTTATAGTACATAATAGCATAACGCCCGTGTGTATCGTAAGATCCCCAACGGCTTTCACCGGACCGCATGCCTATTACGTTACGTGCCCCTCACCTACGTTTAAACGCACGAACAAGCGCGCCGCGGAGTCGTATTAACAGACACATTGACATTCATGTCACGGCCAGTCGCTCTACCCAAGGGAATAATCCGAGCCGCGGTCCGTGCGTGAGTGCACGCGCGCGTCTCCTATGCACGCACCGGTTCCGATGCATTGTCACGTCCTAGACGACGTGACACGAGTGACGTGCAGCGCGACAATGTTATCTACGCCAGGGTTTTACGCGTGTACTGTCGCGCGATCAGGATCACCCTGTATTCAGGGTCCAGTAGGGTAAAGCCCAATACAACACGCTATCGGTCAGGTCTTGGTCAGCCCTTATTTCGATCGAATATTCTACGGTTGTTTATAATGCACGTGTTTACGCTGTGATAGTAACCCTTTCGTGGCAATGGGTGAGATATCACGATTCCACGATGTCGAAGAAACGATGCTATACACGATCACCATGACGTCGCAGAAACGATGCTATGGACGAAATATCTCGTGTCCCTTTATTGTTGATATGAAGTGTTTTATGCGAAAAAAGAATTCATCCAACTAGACAATGTGTAGTTTGCAAAAACAATGGTTTCCGAGGGAAGGAAACCGGATACTCGTGTAAAGATATGGAGTATTTTATGTTTAGTATCTTTAAGTACTCTCCAACAACGATGACATGTCTTATAAATCGATTATTTATCTCAAATTTGAAACACTTGATATCAATAATAAAGATACACGAGATATCTCGTCCATAGCATCGTTTCTTCGACATCATGGAACCGAGATACCTCGTTTATTTTAGTTCCTCCAAAACGGAAAAGTTAGAGTCTATCATCTCAGAAATCTTGTACCCATAGGGATTAGACAGCCTAAGTGCCGTTTTTCGTGGCCAGTTCAATTTCTAGTTTTAACCCTTCCGTCTCTGAACTTGTACCTTTTTTGAATATGAATTTTGTTAAAGAAAAAGTTACGAGTGCGCACAAATCAACCAAAACATATTCACTGACAGCTGATTAACACTTAAACTGTCGGTCATAAGTAAAGATTCTCGTATGGTACAATTTTCCTTTATCTAGGCATTTTTTAGCTTTCCGGTAATTTAAAATGTTACTGGATTCGATGCCTTAGCAACGATGTTTCCATAAACTGTTTGTAGAATAAAAATTCATAAAATAAGTAATCGTCGAATATAGGAACCGTGTAATAATGAACTGTTAAAAGAAGGAGGGATTCTGTGTCTGTTGTAAATTTATATTTATTATGATTCCAATAATGCAAACTTACCCATTTTTGAGTGTGTCAACGTGTAAGCTCTGAGTGGCTTGGCAAGTAGAAACGCAGGTACACCAGCTCGAACCAAAGCTCCCACTCTTCTGTACACCCTGGCACTTCCGGTACCACTGTTATTTGAGACAACAGAGAACCAGCCTGTAACAAATATTTTAAACAAATATGAAATCATTAATTTATTTTACTAAATGTTTGTGAGTACAATAGGAAAGGTAAATTCAATAAAAAGGAAGATAATATGTTTGAACATATTCTTAATTTCTTAATTTAATAACTATGTAAAAATATTCTTAAATAGCATAGTGAGTAACAAAAAAAAATGTAAATTAACTTTATCACTTGATTTTTAATAATAAGTAACATCAACAGTCAATATTATTGGAGTATTATATTTAAGCAAATAATTGGAGTATTAGAATCGACATAAAATTTAATATGCATGCATTTTATGTAATGCGATTCAGATTTAGCTCACATTTCAAATTAATTACACTCCGGTTCTAAATCTAGATCTATTTGCTTAACAGACCTAAACTAACTCCGCTTTAAACACGATCCAGATTTAATTCGGACCTAACCTACAACGGTCACAGACCTGACCTAAACCAATAAAACGAAGTCTGCCGTTACGTGATCCGACTCAGGTGAAAACTAATTCATGTCCAACCCGGAACTACTCTGCCATTCATAAACTTCTAAACGCTTGCGTCAGAAAACGTAGGAAGAGCAGTAACCGAAGATTCTTTAATTTTCCGAGTTCTTTTAGAAATAATGTACTAACATAATTACAAAATCAGAATTAACAAAAGTAAGTACTGTCTAATTTAATCCACTATTTCCTTTTTAAATCCAAGAAAGAACGTGACTTGGAACATTTCTTAGTAATTCTACCTTATCGCATAATCTACTTAAATACATCCATTAGACTTTTATTTTCCAAAGTAAATAACAAAATATTAATAACACGTATTGCAGGGTGTAATAACACTAAATGTACCGCGTACCGGTCAAATAACTGTTTCTAACATTTCATTTAACATTCTGCATTCTCTTCCGTTCATCTAACTTTATATCAATTTCTATATTATTCCATTAATCAGTTTTTTAATCACTGCCTTTCCTTTCGTTTCTGTTTCTATTAAGAAAAATTTATTATCTGATTTGTTTACCTTTATTTTGTTCTTTAACTGACTGCAGTAGGAATAGGTACTACTACTAAATATAAACAAAGTACCTGCACGTTTAGTGATAATACTACTTCTCTCATCAATCTCATAATATCGATTCTACCTTAACCCCTGCCCTATGATTTTTCACAATTGTTCTCTCTAAATTGCTTTATCGTTACTAATTTAATAGACAGAGAAAGCAGTCCGATGCTTGTTCCGTGTCTACGTTCACTTTACAGGTTAAAGATTGGTAATAGACAAGTAATATTACATGCATACTTAAAATAAATAAATAACATTTGTCGAATTCGCTTGATAATTTTCATCACGAGTCTTACTCGATATTATAAGAGAAAGGGTTAATTATTGCGTTAAGAGCTTTGTCGTGTTCGAAGTAATGCGTCGTCTACGCCAAACACCATTGAAATCTATTATTTTACATGGTAGATCCTCCAACAGCTCCATGATTTTCCCGCAATATCTTTGAGACGATGTTATAGGACAAGGGTTTAACAAAATCCTCTACGGAACTTCAATTCATTCCAATCAAAAAACTAAAAAAAAGAAACAAAAACTCGACACATCCTCCGCCAAAAAGATACAGTTACTTAATTCGATGGACACCAGTAATTTTCGCTTTCTCATGGCTGAAGACACGCAAGCCGTAGCATCTGTGTCAGGCTTGGCGCGCAGCGTGCGCTGTTCGGCGCGTCTTGTTTCGTAAAGCCGCGGTAAGTGTATTATATAGCGCGGCGCGGCGGTTCGTTAACGTGCACCTTCTTGATGCAGGGATGTGGCCGACGTTACCGTTGCGCCGTGGAAATGGCGCTCCAGTTCCCGACGACGAAAGGAAAAGAAAAGGAGACGAAAAACACAGAAGAAAAAGGAAAAGAGACGAAAGAACTGCCCGGCCTTTCATACACTCGCGTTCAACGCATCGTCGTTCAACCAGCCCTACGCCCCGGCCGCGGCGAGTTATTATTAACGTCTTTTTTTTTCTCCTCGCCCCAGCCGGGAGTCGCGTTTTTCTCGTGTTTTCGCCTCGGCCGAGTCACAATGTCAATTCGACCCACTTTGCTAATACGATCGAAACCACGGACGCGGGCTGCCGATGAAATGAACTGCGACGTTTATGAGCTCGTTTAACGAGATCCTAAGGCTCGCTTTCATACGAGTAATTTAAAGGCAGCGCGTAACGCTCGCGGTGTTGCCTCTTGCCACCCTGAGATGAGATTTCTTTTGCGCCGCGAATACCGCCGTTTATTAAGATTTGTTGGGAACCCCGAGGACAAGGCCAGCCAGCGCCTGTTATTTGAATAAAGCACTTTAAAGATAATTGTTCGAATAATTGAATACGTTTTAGTGGTGAATGTTATTATTATTTTTATAGTGCGTTACCGTGCGTACCGCAGCGCCGCGCTGCGACGGCCAACGGAAATAAAACGTTCGGACGGGGCTGCCATTCTGGAGGAAGGGTGCGCGTGCAAGATTTATTTTCACCCTGTTGGAATTTCATTTAATACTAGAACCACCGTTTAAGTCTTGCTCCACATTGTTCTCTTAATTCTACGTAAGAACTTTAGTCGTAACCTTGTGACAATTTATACAAAGAATCTTCAAATTCTCTAATTTTCCCTAAAGCTAAATACTTACGCATCGGGCGAGAGAACTTTGTTTTACATTTTTCTTAACAATAAAACTACCGTACCAGTCGAGATGACTGACTTCGGTTTTCTTGTTTCGCAATTATTGATATCTTAAAAGCATTGAACATTCGAACTTCCTTCTACATTTTCCTTGACACTAGAACTACCGTACTAGTCAAAATGATTACATATCAATCGTATTAAATGCCTGGTAATTCTAGTGTTAACACGTTGACTGCCACAAGAATTTCGAACACCTCGTATAGTAGTACTTATTCTACCAGAACAAAGGTAAATGGGGTTAAAAATAATCATTAATGATTTGGTATCACAATAATTATATTACTCTATTATTTAGCTACTTGTATTACCAAATATTTTTATTCGACATCAATTTTTTTGTTGTTATTGTCCTCGAGCAATTTGGAAGCTACGGTCATCGGTGACAATCATGGTGGTCAACGTGTTAGTACATTTCGTGCCACTGGAAATTTTAATTACATCTTGCTTATAAAGTGTACCGATTTTTTAAATGAAATATTAAGTTACATTTAAGTTTTTGGTGATTTTTATATATATTCTGATATTATTTCTTTACGTTTTCGTTGTTTCGCGATGTGTACGGCTATCCGTTGGCTCACAAAAAATGTCTCCTTACAAAAGTTAGAAAATTATATGTACTAAAAATGGTATATACTGGACAGAACGTGTTAACATTTTGTCTTCTCTTAAATGAATCGAAATTTTATGAAGTATTTTGATTTTATCATTTCTCTGTGAATACTTGAACAGTTTCAGTAGAAAGCGTTTTGTGGATTATTTAGTAATCATCATTCCACAGATTCTTGTTATCGATGATCAATACGTAGTCACAGAATATTCTATAAGTATCATAATATGTACCTACATTCAATAACAAAAATTTATACACTTCTGTCAAATTTTAAATGTTTAAAAAATTTTAAATATTGAAAGCTAACAAGAAATGTTCTAACATTTTATAGACATTCGTTTACTAGCCAAGAGTTGTTAGAAAGAAATATCCTCGTTTCAGAATTTACAATTTTAACCAATAAATTAATCAATAGTACTTATATATCTATTAATAGCCTCTATATATTCATTTATCTTTTAATTATCGTCACAAAACTACGTAGTAATTACAGCTTGAATTTAACCATTCAAATTCGACGATTTTCGCTTCACTACCAACTTCCATATTTACCAATAAAATCAAAATTCTAAAAGAAGTTTCCAAGAACAGAAGATCGGTAGACGTCGGCATCACCGAACGCTAAGCAGCGCGTTTCGATCTAGGCTTAAATTAATAATTTATCGGCGATTTGAAGAATACACGCGCGGATTCTCCCGATAATTTATAGCCGAATACGAACCATCTGCCGGTTGTCCCGAACGCCGTGGTACAATGGTGGCCCCCGCGTATGTATAAATCGCTGAATCGATTCGCGAGCGGTTTACATCGTATTTCCGCCATCCCGAATTGATTTACAGCTGGTACTAATGCGCAAGTTTCAATGATTGTTCCATCCCTTTCCGCGAAATGTCCTTTCCGCGAACGTATTAACGTGGGTGTTTTATCGTCGATCCGGCACGTCTGGTTTTATGAGAGACGCAGAATTTATCGCCGATTAACCCCGTCTGCGTGACTAGATTAAATTACAATCTCGTTCCCGAAGACAAAGAGGCTGCGAATACCGCCCCTGCAGCCGGCCGCGGCCGTAGTAAACACTCGTACGCTAACGAGCTTTCAAAGAATTTTCTTTTTCGTAGACGCGGCGCAAGAAGGATGCCAGTTGCTCGGTGCGAATGCCAATGTTTCTACGTGTCTATCGAACGTATTAACTCCTTGTCTTACGGTTTCTTTCGTAACTCTGCTCGATAAAACCACTTTATCGTTGATAATTTAGTAAAAAAAGAAAAGAATTTGATCGTTCTTTTGTGTCTTCTAATAACGTTTAGATTTGTTGAGTTCGGTTGAAAATTTTCATTGCAAGTCTGACTAAATATTGTAAGAGGAATTAATCTCTTGTTTTATGATATCGTGACACACTCGTGACGAAGATTTCGAACATGAATTAGCGACAAGTCAATGTATTCCCTTGGATTCAAATTAAATATTGTCCTTCTATTATTGCTTTTTAATCTTTGGAGCTAATATAGATACAGGAAGAACATGGAATTCTCTTTTACTTCTAGTAAATGTTTAACAATGAAATAGTTCTAGCACATTTGTAGAGGAAACCGAAGGACAAGGGGTTAACTCTAGAAACATTGAATACTTAATAAAATAATAAAAAATTTT